GGACACTTCAACACTCGGCAGTAGGCCAAAATGTGACGGCATGGTAATCCGTTTTCAATGAAAAATGGACACTTCAACACTTGGTGACTCGTATCCACGAAGTTCGTATTGTTTAGTCCAGACAGGATTGAGGTGGTCGAAAAGCATTGGACCATTTGTGTTTCCGTGGTAGAAAGTGGTCTCTGACGTATCTGCCAAACGTTCCGTCCGACATTTCGATTAACGAAAGTACATTGTTAAAACTACAAAGTCATGTTATGCAAATTTTGATTTACCTTTCTACCGTTCAAGTGAACATGAGGCTAAAGACCAGTTGTACAATTTCTGATCGCACCCTCTACATTTACGGTTAATGAATTAATGTTAATAAACTATACACTTACCCTCTTTATCACATTCCGAAAAAGGTGTAAGCGACACAGAATATGGTGGGCATTCGGATACACCTGCGTGATAGCAGCGGCTATTGCAGGCAAGTCATCGGTCACAATGCCTACCAGCTGTCGACTGTTGGTACACCGTTGGAAAAAACGCAGGAATCCAGAAATGAATGTAGACGTTTCGCGACTTCAAAAGGCAATGCAGATGGGTATTACCTTCAAATTCATATCCAGGGCAACGACTTGATATAAATGAACGTTCTCATTATTCATTTTGTATGTTCTGTCAAAACCAACTACGTCACAGAAGTGACCAGTCAAATTCAATTGATCAGCAGTCCTGAAGAAGAAATACGATAGACAGTTCTCATCGTCCAACTCGTATTCGCAAAGCCCACCCAAGGATGTTATGTGAGCTTTCAATTTCCCGTAATCACCTATAGTGTACATTATAAATTTGCAAATACCTTACCGGGAAGGTTCGCCTGTGAGAACACTTTGTACCGCAGATTACCCACATCTTGATCATTAAGAAGTTTACCATAAGATTGGTAAGCGAAATTCTTAATGTGGAAGGAAGCCGTACCAGCATCCGTTAACCTGCGCATCCATGAATTAGTTCTGTACCTCAGGGAATTGCACTGGTGATTGAGAGACACATTCCCACGCACAACAGTCCAGTACCCGTCTATAATCTTACAATACATAAAGGCCGGACATTGCGTGTTCATGGAAGCCCTTCGTGAACAAAATTATAATTAGATTAACCAAACTACCTCCTACGTCTAATACGCTGTGACGAACCGCTAGATCTTATACGCCCATTTCTCCAACACACAAATTTAATATACGAATTCTCATCTCTGCCCGTATGCGAATCTCTCACTACATAATGACTGCAAGTCGATCTTTCAAAAGTTGCGATAGCGGCCTTTAGCGCTTCAACTGATGGGAACGCAACCAGAAACAAGGTTGTCAAAAAGACTTACTCCATTTTCGTGACATGAGAAACAACAGTGCTTGTACTTGGCACGTTAATCTCCTCCATAATGACGATTAAAATGTACTTCGTCGACAAGTACTGATATTTTATAATAATTTTCAAGACATAACTAACCATTTAAAACGAATTTTACAACTAGCCATTTAATTGGACGAAACAGGGGATTAAAAATATTGTAATTTGGGGGTGGAAAAACTTTTTCAGTGGGGTGAAGGGAAATTAAAAAAAACATTTTCATAAATTGCCGGGTGGATAATAAAAATCGAAAGGTGTTAACAGTCGTTGAAGTCACTAACTTCTAGTCTGAGCCTTGTTCGTAGATGCAGACTACTTGGTTGGGGTCTGCGCGACTATCGTAACCAATAGTTGGAGACTCTGGGTGACATGGCTCAGAATCGATCACAACGGTGTAGGTGTATACACTATGTCTTCTGTTAAACTGTGAGGTTAAAATTACTTTAATTCTCTCTTCTTGTACTGTATCCTTATATGCAAGATTATTTTCTATGGGATAGGGTTGCCAAATGCAATAAATACAATAAATTTAGAAGAGCTGCGGGCGGAGTTGTAATATGTTGATCCTTTTAGATAATTGGTGCTTGAAATAAATCAAGGCTTCTGAAAAATCTCCTTCATTCCTACTAACCATAACAGTTACTTCATTGTGTGATTCTGTGATACTCTTGGTATTGTTCATATGTAACATATACTCATGAAGGATATTTGAAAATGGAACGCGTTTTTTTATTTTTATTTATTTATTTGAACACGTAGATATTGGTACAATGGGGCGCCAGATATATATGCGCCACACAAAACATTGAGGATGGGCAAAGAAAAAGAATGTAAGGTACCTATAAGAAAAAAAGAACAATAACGAACACATATTAGTACATGGTAGTGTAATATTAATAATAATAATGGTAGTAGGGGAGACGGAAAGGTACACCCAGGAAGAATTCTTTCAGTTAAGCGAGATACAACCACTTTTTATGAAGAAAGTAAAAGAAGGTTACAGCAGGATCGCCACTGGTTTCTATTCCGGGCCATATCTGATAGCGTCTCTGGCCACTGTGTTGCACCATCTCTAGGACCCCAACCAGGAAGTCGTGAAGGATCAACAGAAGCGATATCTGTATAGCTTTCTTTCATAAAACGGTATGTCATACACTTAACATCTCTGCTTTTTCTAATTAGTCCCAACGTCAGCAGATGATGCACGACGAGGAATTCTCTGAAACGAAACTCATAGAAAATGCCCAAACCACCGACGTCGATGTTTCAGGATATTGAGACTAACTGGATCATCGTCACTGTGACCGAATACACAATGCCGGATCTCTGCATTACTAACATGGTGTTGCCACTGGATGTCAGTAATCTTTCGGAGACAGGGATGATAAAACACAAAGAGTCGTCTAACGCCCTCAACTCTGAGAGGCCAGGTTCCACAAGCATACAGCAAAGCGCTCTCACCGATGAGTTGTAGATCCGACATTTTACGACCTGGCTAACATCATGAAGGCTCCAAAGATGGCCCAGATTGACATAAGCCGGTCTGACTTTCACTATACGTCAGTCGATCTCATCACTCACACACCCCACCAGCACTTATACAGCTACTCAGATACATGAACGTCTCTCTGCTCACTGCTCATGGTGAGTGGAGGATCAGAGTCCTGCCAGTCTTGTAGAAGTACTTTGCACTTCGAAGGTGCAAAGCACACACCATACCTATGGACACTGATTGCCAACTGATTAATTGCGGGTTGCATGCCTTGGGCATTACCGCACAGTAAGACAATATCATCCGCATACTCAAGGTCGAGAAGTCTTTCTCCAGGCAACAGATGCACATCACCGTTACTTACATCCATCAGAGCTGTTTCCAGAATGTCATCGATTGCAAAGTTGAAGAGGAATGGTGAGATTGAGCAACCCTGTCTAACCCCATCGGTTGAACGGAGCAATCGATTCAGGTGGTTGAATGCCTTCACTCTGCCTGAGATGTTTGTATATAGGGCCTTTAGGATGTTAATAAACATTTCAGGCACACCCTTCTTCAATAGACAATCACAGAGAACAGTCCTGTCTAACGAATCAAAGGCAGCCATGATGTCAAGAAACACTACGTTTGTTGGCCTTTGATAAGTATGGCGGTGTTCTAACATTTGGCGGAGGGTGAAGATATGATCAATACATCCTCAACCGGAACAAAACCCAGCCCGCTCCTCGCGAGTCAATCTTTGAACAACTTACGAATATGACGGAAGCCAACCTGAACCCTCTTTAAAAATAGGGATAACTATCGACTCGTTTCATGATGTTGGAACTCTCTAGTTCCTAGACGTTTGTAAACAACGTCGTCAGTTCCTTAGTCAGAAAGTCACCACCATATTTGAAAAGAGCCGGAGGTAAGTTATCTGGGCCAGGTGATTTGTAGCACTTCAGGAGTTGGAGTTCCTTGCGAACTTCCACCTCATTTGGTGGGTCAGTCGTCACAGGCCATGGAAAACAGGACAGTCTGACCGATGTTGCCGGAGCAGCAGGCCAGTTGAACTGCCCTTCGAAAAATTCTGCCCATCGTCCAAGACGTCGATGGATGTTAGTAATTGGTGTCCCATCATCCCCGTAGATCGTTTCACTAACACCAGACTTCTTGCTGCCAGTAGCTCGGATGAGTTGGAAGAGGTTTCGGTAGTTATCAGATGTAGCTGCTGCTTCCAGCTCATTAGCACACTCCGACCACCAGGCTTCTCGATCCGTACACAAGCTTTGCTTAATTTCATTACGTAACATCCTTCGTTTGTAGCCAAACTCATGGTCGTCTGGAGTAGACCGACGGGCTTCGATGAGTACTCATAAAGGAGCGGCAGACGTGTACACAACCACGCCAGCGGTAGTTGATCGCGATGTGATCAATCTGAGTTCAGGCTTGAGATGCAGAGGGAGGACGCCAAGTGGCATATAGGCGATGACTATGCCAGAAGTTAGTGATAGCAAGAAACAGGTTTTGGTCTGTGCACAGTTGCAGTAGACGGTCTCGTTATCTGTCCTGTGACCAACAAGTCCCCATCGGTCACCTAAACGACTCTTTTCTGTACCTAGACACCCGACCTGAGCATTTAAATCTTTGACTAATACTACAATATCTGTTGAACGCACTTTATGGATATGATCAGTTAACTGGTGGTAAAACTCATCCTTGATTGCATCCGGGCTGCAATCTGTCGGGGCATAGGCGGTGATGACGAAAATATATCGTTTCTCACGCCGATTTCTTTTCACTTTGATGGAACTTTCTAATCTAACAGCAAATAACCGACTGTTAATGGGGATACAATCGACTAGTACTGTCTCAGCTCTAGCGCTTAGTGCGACACCAACACCGGCAGGACCAAACGAAGATGCCACAGGGTCCCCGGATAAACGCATGCAAAACGAGCCGTTCGAAGCAACAGATGGAGAGCGAATTTGTAGTACTTCACCAGAGTCTTGAATACGCGTCTCGGATAGACAACAAACATCGATATTAAGACTTTCCAAAGATATAGCCAGCCCTATCTGTTGTCCGACCTGCATAAATGTGCAAACGTTGAAGGCAGCTAGTTTGAATGGTGCACATGGTTTCAGAAAAACTGCTTCAATATTCGTATTTGGTAGTAGCAATCAATTTCGAACCAGTCAGTAACTCGAGATCGCTTAGATAGAGCCGAGTTTCCACCATAGGTGCGGATATTGTTCTGTCTACATTTTCGTCAGGTCGACCTTGGATTGAATCCAACCCCTCATCTGAAATTTACTGGACTTCATTGTGAGGACTGTTTAGTGTGGTGTTTTCATCAAATATCGAATTGCGTTAAAGTAATCACTTGCATTTTTTTGTTTTTCAAACTCCAAATCGCAGTTTTCAAACGGTCTAATACCGATTGTCTATATTTCTATGAGACGGCTTGTTGATATCGGTGCTAATCTTACTGACAAAGTCTTCATAGGTGTTTACCGCGGCGTACTTCAGCATAAAAATGATTATCATAATGTTTTATGTCGAGCCAGAAAATGTGGTGTGGAGAAAATAATTATAACTGGAGGTTAGATTAGTTGACGTTTCCAATCAACTGGAACCAGGGTCACTCACTGATAGTGCTGAGGCTATATCCCTATGTGAATCTGATAAAGACCTCTTTTGTACAGTTGGATGCCATCCTACAAGATGTTTGGAGTTTCACAAGGATCCAGATAACTACCTGAATAAACTGGAAAACCTAATTCTGACGACGAAAAAAGTAGTAGCTGTAGGTGAATGTGGTCTCGATTATGACCGGTAGTTACAAATGCTTTCTTACTTCAATTTACAGTGAAGAGTTTTGTCCAAAAGATATCCAGAAAGAATATTTTGACATTCAACTTAAGTTAGCTAGTGATGTTAAGTTACCTCTGTTTTTGCATTGTCGAGCTGCACATGAAGACTTTCTACAAATGATCAAAAATGCTAAGCATACATATTTTCAAGACAAGCCTTTTCGAGGTGTTGTACACTCATTTGATGGAACAGACGAAATGGTCAAATGTTTCACTGACATGGGATTGTATATTGGTGTCAACGGTTGCAGTCTGAAGAACCAAAGTAATTTGGAAGTAAGATGTCAAAATATGTATCACATAGAACTTCATTTGCATACTATTGCTATATACTTACATTTTGTTTCTGATGGTGATCAGTAGTTTTTACTCTGTTTACTCTACAACTACCCACCGTTCCCAAACAGCATGAATGGAACATTGAAGTAGTTCAAAAAGCTATAGCTAATCTGAGACGAGGAAGGGAAGCTGGTCCAAATGGATTGGCTCCAAAGGTCTTTAAGTGTGGTGACCAAGTTTTAGAGATTAGGTTGAATAATATTTTAGCTAAGATCTGGGAATTAGACGTTATCCCATCTGACTGGTCGCAATCACTTATCGTCCCAATATATAAGACAGGGTCAAAATCATCCTGTTACAACTATAGAGGGATTAGTTTAACTAATATAGCATCTAAAATACTAGCCTCAATAATTATCGGGTGCCTAACTGAGACTTGTGAACTGCAGACACGAGAAAATCAGACTGCCTTCAGATCTGGTCGTGGCTGCATCGACCACATATTCACCATTCGTCAGGTTCTGGAACACAGGCATACTTATTGGCGTCCGACAATGGTGGTTTTCCTTGACTTAATGACAGCATTTGACTCTGTAGATCGAGAGGTTCTGTAGCAGTGTCTGTCATTGAAAGGCGTACCTCAGAAGTACATAAACCTTGTGCAGGATCTTTACTCGAATACTACTAGGCGAGTAAGAGCTTATGGCGAACTGTCATTTGCTTTTGCAACCTCAAGTGGTGTCCATCAAGGCTATTCACTTTCTCCATTTTTGTTTAACTTCATCTGGATATACTGATGGAAATAACTCATCGACTGAATTTTCGGACGTTGATCTCCTACTAGGAGGTCCACTTATCAACTTAAAATACGCAGATGATATAGTCCTACTTGGTAAAAACGCTGATAAAATCCAGAGTCTTTTGGTAGCACTGAGCAACAATGCCAGGATGTTTGGAATGCGTTTTCCCCCCTCTAAATGCGATGTTACTTCAGGACTGGCCTGTGTCAACGCTTGAACTTAGGATCAGTCAGCTACAACGTAGGACCAGGCACATATATGCATCGGTCCAGGTTGCCATACCTCATTAGCACTGAACTTAGGATAGGTAGTGAAGTAGTCGAACACGTTAACAACTTCACTTATCTTGGAAGTCTGGTCAGCACTAATGGGTTGGTGTCTGACGAAATTTCAGCACGGATTCGAAAAGTTCGTTTGGCTTTCGCCAACTTACGTCACCTATGGCGAAATCGAGATATCCGTCTATCAATTAAAGGACGAGTATATTGCACAGCAGTCCTTTCTGTTCTACGTTATGACAGCAAAACATGGCCATTAAGAGTAGAAGATACTCGTAGGTTACTAGTATTTGATCACAGATGTCTTATAAATATTCCCAGCATCTCAAGGAATTGAAGAGGAAGGTTGATTATGAATACAGTGGTCTTGGGTGCTGTTAGAGGTATGAATCTTCATCGACTGAGATGGTTGGGCCACGTGTTACGTATGCCTGAACACCGATTACCACGACGTGCAATGCTATCCGGAATTGGAAATGGTTGGAAGAAAGTCAGGGGCGGCCAAACCAAAACGTGGCATCAGTGCTTGAAGTCACTAACTTCTAGTCTGAGCCATGTTGGTAGATGCAGACTACTTGGTTGGGGTCCGCGTGACTATCGTAACCAATGGTTGGAGACTCTTGGTGACATGGCTCAGAATCGATCACAATGGCGTCGGTGTATACACTACCTGTCTTCCCTTAAACTATGAGATTAAAATCGCTCCATATCCTTCTTTCTACGAACCAATTCTTTCTGCTTGTACTATATCTCTATATGCAATCTTTCTCTTATATATTACCACCTTTTACCTAACCACTGTTATGAATCTGGTGTTCATCTTGTTGTGTTGATGCGGTATGGCAACCTGGACCGATGCACATATGTGCCTGGTCCTACGTTGTAGCTGACTGACTGACTGACCCAGCATCTCATGTGGTCACCGGATAAGTAATAGTCAAGTTAGACGCAAAGTACTAGGGAATGATAGTAAATCAGTTGTGAATCTTCATCGATTGAGATGACTGGGTCACGTGTTGCGTATGCCTAAACACCAATTACCACGACCCGAAATGCTGACTAGTGTTGGAGACGGTTCGAAGAAAGTTAGGGCGGCCAAACCGAAACGTGTTACCAGTCCTTGAAGCCACTAACTTCTAGTCTGAGCCTTGTTCGTAGATGCAGACTACTTGGTTGGGGTCTGCGCGATTATCGTAACCATTGGTTGGAGACTCTTGGTGACATGGCTCAGAATCGATCACAACGGTGTAGGTCTTCCGTTAAACTATGAGATTAAAATTGCTTTATTTCTACGAACTAATTCTCTCTTCTTGTACTGTATCCTTATATGCAATCTTTCTTTTATATATTACAAACATCGAAGAAACTGCTGTGAATTTAGTGTTCATCTTGTTGTGCTAATGGGGTGTGGCAACTTGGACCGATGCACATATGTGCTTGGTCCTACATTGTAGCTGACTGACTTACTGAACAATAATTATAGGATAAGCCATGTATTACCGAACTCTCGAGCCTCCTACTCGTCTTTTTTTGATGATATAGTTACTATAGATGTCTATGTTTATAACATTTACTTAATATTAGATTGTTTGTTTTTTTACTGTCGCAAATTAGGTTATCAATGTCTCAAAGTTAAACTGTTCGCAGCCGATTATAAGCTACAAAATAAAATAATTTCAATTCTGCCAACAACCGATCGCACTAATATTTTTCACTCTTGGCGTTTGATGGACATAAGGCATCTTTAACTTCATGGGCTTAATTGCAGTCACGTGTTAGGCGCCGTCAGTAGTTAGTAATAATTTTTTTAAGAAAGAACCCTGGGAAACTGGCATGCTTACTACAAAACTGGTTAACTCTAAAACGAACTAAATGGTTTCAAGATTATACTCTGCCTACGAGGCGCTGATAAGACTACTGTGGAAGGTCCCTTTTCTGTCACCCAGCAAACAATTATTTATTTATTTAAACACAAATATTGGTACAATAAAGTGTTAGTTATCTCCCAGTTGGTAAAACTGAAAGCTTTTGCCAGTAACCTGTTACTGTTTTCATATTTATGTTGTTCAGATGAACTGGGTGTGACTTCTTCAGGGATGTTTTATATTTATATTTCCAAGTGACTGAAGTCACCAAAAAGGTACTGATAAAACCTAATGCTTAGAGAAGAATGATTAGCATTATTTGTATAGATGCTAGTAATAGTAGTCGAGTATATTTCAGTTTTTTGTCTTTGCAGGTTGTGCAGAAAATCCCGCTTGATCGGCTGTTATTAGAAACAGACGCTCCTTGGTGTGATATTAGAAGAACTCATGCAGGTAATGTAGAACTGACTTAATTTTTCCCTTCCTAGGATATCATTTTGTTAAGACACACCACACTTATCGCAAGCATAATTCATGGGATGAATCCTACATGGTCAAAGGACGCAACGAACCTGCTAACCTTGTTCAAGTTCTGGAAGTTGTTTCTGCTGTGAAAGGAGTAAGCGAGGAAAAACTAGCTGAAATAACATATCAAAATTCAATTGATTTATTTTCTTTACCAATATAAAGTTTTATAAAAATTAAGTTCTTAGTAAGGAGAGCTAGTTTTGATAGACTTCAGCTATGCGCCAAACGTTGCTGCGCGTTTCTAAGTCATTAAAAGTACTTACATATTCGTGTTAGCGCTGATCAAAATAAAAGGATAAAATGAACTTTAGTTTTTGCAAAACTGTGTTAAAATAAGCTGATAGAGGCAGGTCTGAAATAAGACGGAAGCATACCTCGCTTGTTCAATTCTACGGACCAGTCACCCAGCGTACATTAGAAACTAACATCTATGATTTCCGAATATATATCACAAAGGTGTACAGATCTAAAGTTATAGCTTGTTTTTCTACTTCTAAATTGCCAACGTTTTGTAACTGATTTTTTAAAAATCGATATTCGTGGTGTTCAACAACTAATGTTTGTGACCCCCTTATCTTTAATTCATAGTTATCTTTTTGCGATTTTTTTTACATTTAAATATATTTCACTAACAATTATTGTTATACGGCCACTTTCAATCAGTTCTTACTCGTATTTATAGTGACCTTCATTCCATTAGAACTTCTCATCTTGTAGTTGTGACTTTAAAATTTTAGTATACGTCAATTTGAACTTCATTTACTTATTCATGAATAATGTTTTACATATCACAAACTCCACTCATTGTATACATTCACAGTTAACTACCAAACGCGTCCGTCATACTAATTATTTGAAGTATATATAGCTTTTGAAAATAAAATTGTCAAAAAGGAAAGTACAATTTCCTCGTTGACATATTTGCTTTCATCATTGGCACTTAGGTTGACAATTTGATCGAAAAAGGCTGACCATGAATGACAGTAAATCAATATCTCGCTATATCAGAAGATTTACCTGTCCAATTCTGATGAGTAACTGGACAGAAGTTGAGTCAGATACACTTGTGAAAAACTAGAGGCGTAACTGTAGCATATCCTGACGCTTATTTCGCATTGATTGTTTGAGCATCACTGAACCTATTAAAAGCTAACGGATGTATTGCTTCAAATATTTCCTTTCGATTCTTCAAACATAACGTTTTTAATAGAGGTGTAGTAACCTCTCATATTTTTCATTGCTACGGAAATCCATTCCTGTTTGGAGAAATACAGGACCAGACAATCATGTGACCATTATATGTCATTTTTATCCTATTAATAATATAATGCTTTCTTATACTTAGTTATGACCTATAGTTGTACATTTCTTGGATGTGTGCCTGTCCATTTACTGCTTTAAATAGATAGCTGCATAACTTGAGTCACTAATTAACGTGGTAATTAATTTCCTGATCAATCCAAATGTCACACAATTTAGCTACAAATTAGGGCCTACATACCACACGATTCATTGACATTCGCCTTTTTTACCGATAGTTTGTGTGCCTATTAACATTCATTGAATAAAAATATGACTCAGTACAGTTCGCGTTGTTATTTCAACTTATTACAAAATGGGATATCTGAGAAAACAAACACAATTAAGTGAGATTAATAATCGGAGTCATATAAAGGTTTATGGAACGATTATTTCAAATAAAACTTTTATCTGAAGTCAGCAGAATAGTTTAAATGAGGTTGCTTGAATTTATCAATTCTCTTCAACATTTAGTATTTGAAAGCAGCCGTAAATGAAGCTTGATAACTGCTCATTCGCTCTAGATAAGAAACGTGAACGTTATAGCAGCATGTACAGTAGCCTGTTGGTTATCGTTTTCCACATGTAGTTAAGTCATAGCAACTTCTGCTTCTACTTTTTTTTACTGGTCGTGAATCGCAGCCGTTGAAGCTAGTCCCTCAATACCAATAAGTGGAAGAAATCCCTGATCTTGTTAAAACCAAATTACTATAACCCTAGTTATCTTGCAAATGTGCTCAGGTTTTATTTTAAGTCCGAAGCAGTTCTTATGCATGTAGTTTTTATGTTCAAGCAGTTGAAGTCTACATAAAAGCTCGAAAGTAGCTGCCTACCTCCAGGTCCTTTCTTTTTTTGATAAACAATAAAAGACAAGTCCTTATTTTGCGAAAAATCCTAGACTATTGTGTCCAATGCTTGTATGAACTACAGTACAGATGATTTCCAACAATTTTTGGATCGGAAGCTTCGAATTTCGCTGTTTTTATATTAAAGTAACTGATTATCATGACTGTCAAACGTTTTTGAGCAGGTTTGAGATGTGAACACTAGCAAGGTTGAGGTGTGACTAATTATTTAAAATCTGCCTAGAGAGTTAAGTTAATATGCTCACATTTCAGCATTGTGAACCTACATTGTAACAACCAGAGCTAGAATGCCAACTATTGCAGTGTAAGTCTAAACCCTATTTCAGTTTGGACAGCAGAATGATACCACCAACCCTTATATAAGGCTGAGTACAGGGACTCTACTTAACTACTCATTTGTGTTATTTTACAAAATTACGCTGAGACGTTAAAGCACACAAATCAAATGATCACTCATTCAAAGCTTACAATAGCTGTACAGAAGGTTACTGATCATATTTTCTACTCCACCCTATCCCTGTATCAACACGTAACGGGTCAGTTAACCACTGGTTGGTGCACAGACGCGACAATGAGTGACACCAAGTTGGTAAAGAAAGTTCAGTATTTTGGCTAACAACGCGAACTACAGAGCGTGTCTCTTCTTATATATCAACAAACTATCAAATGCAGATCTGGATATCGACCGCGAAAAAAATAGAAACTAGTATTGTTTGCGAGAAGTAATATGTTATTGATAAGCTTCTGAATATTAAGGTAGCAAAGCATTTTGCCCAGAAATAAGTATATAAGTTAGAAATTAAATATCATTAAGTGATTTTATCACCATAATATCAATTTTGACTTCAGCATTGTGTGCCAATAAGCATAGAAACTAATACTGGGTAATTGAGGAGGGTAAATCTAACTAGGATGCTTAGATAGTGTATAAAGCAACAGTACAAACAAGAAAACAATAGGAGGTATGATTGTGTATTTATAAACTGCCATCTAGGAGCGCATGAAACAATGTACAACAACGTTATGAATTCTCACCACCTGGAGACTTTGTTTCCTGTAGAATAGATGGGAACCACGAAGGTCTAGGACCAGGGACTTTGACTTCTGCATCGCTAACAGATGCGTTAGTGCTGTTATCATCATTATAAATAAATTTCACTTCGTGATCACTTGGAAGTTGACCATTGATAAGGGAACGTAAAAAGTTAGTTTCCTCACGTACTTTACTATAACAGTTGGCTAAAACGTTAAGTCAAAAACAAGATGAAAATAGAAACAGTATTCTTTTACCTATCTCTTAAGATTTTACGGTAGTCGAAAACTAACCTAATGAATGTGAATAAAAGTCGATCCTGGTGTTATACATCATTTGGAGCCCACACAGATACAGAAGGCTCGACTAGCTTTGGCCAACTCGCGTCATTTATAACGTAGGCGAGATATCCGTCTATCAAACAAAGGACGGGTTTACTGAGCCGCATTTTGTTCCATCCTACTTTATGGCTGTGAAACATGGCCGGTAAGAGTAGAGGATATTCGTAGATCACTAGTATTCGATCATAGGCGTCTTCGACGTATTGCTCGTACATCCTGGGACCATCGAGTAAGTAATGTAGTTGTTAGGAAACGAGTACTAGGTAAGGAAAAATCAATTGATGAAATAGTGAAACTTCCCCAGTTGAGATGGCTGGCATGTCTTACGTATGTCCGACCACTGAGTGCCCGGACGTGCGATGTTTTCTGATGTAGGAGTAGGTCTGAAGAAATCTAGAGGCGGTCAGACCAAAACACGGCACAAATGCATGAAGTCATTGACAGGTGGATTGAGCCATGTCGGTAGGTGTAGACTACCTACCACGAGACAATAGCAACCGATGGTTAGAGACCTTGAATGACATGGCTCAAAATCGTTTGCAATGGTGCAGGTGCATCCATTCATTGTGTTCTCCCAAATTCTAATCTGGATTCTTCATGTCCCTTTTCTTCTCTTTCTAAATTTATTTCACTGGATTATGCTCTTTGAATAACATCTTCAAACCTTAATCTTTCCGATTACTGCTGATACTTTTGCTACCTCTATCACTCTGGAATTCGAATTGACAACTGCATCTCTGTGCTAATGTGGTATGGCAACTCGAAATGATGTACATACATACAAAGTTCTACGTTGTTGACTGACCGTCATATGAAGCGACGTAATATACAGTTTATGCTATATGCTCTAACCAAATCGCTTTTAGTGAACACTATTCTTCTGAATGCTATCCAGAAGGACAATGAGAGCTTCATGACCAAACAATTCAGCTTAGAAGAAAACCACTGGTTTTTTAGCCATTCCAAAACCTACCTATCTTCACTAATACTTTGAGATGGTGGAGAAGATTTGTAGCTCAGGTGGATGATTTTGGTGGAGTTTTGTTCTCTGAGCTGGATGGTTTGGTCGTGTTCGTGGAGAAAATATAGTTGTTCTCGAGTGGAAGCCTGCCTTTTGGCGAAATTCTCGCACGACCAAACCATCCAGCTCAGAGAACAAAACTCCACCAAAATCACTAATACTTTGAAAGATATCAGGTAAAACTCATACATAATGTTAAAGATTCCCATTGTGAAAATTAGAACAACACATATAAGCGAACAATTGTTTTCAATTAGATCGTCATCAGGTTTTACTCTAATATACATGAATATTTATACGATGTCTACTCAAACGAAGGATAAGTTACCTGAGTCGGCCTCTTCCATGTGCATTTACAAATTCAGCTGCTCCTGTGGAGATAGCTATATAGGGCGTACTACCAGGCAACTTAACCAACGAATGAGTGGACATTTACCAACTTGGTACATAAAGGGCCAGAGAAAATCTATTCGTAGTTCTATATTGGCACATCTTATTGATAGCGGTCATGCAGTAGATAAATCGAAATCATTTCGAGTTATCTATCGTATACCTCCATCATTTCCCGACGGAGTCCGTTCCCGTCTCCTATATATAGCTGAAGCCATTGGAATTCGTACATATAACCCCAATTTATGTGTACAGAAGAAATACGTGACCCCCCTATCCCGTCCATGGCCAGTTATGACTTAACTAACAATTCTTTTTTTAAATTTTATTATTATCATCATTTATTTTATTTTATTTGTGTTATCATTAACCTTATTTTTACATCCATTATTTGTTTGTAATTTTCCACCTCTTTGCATTCTTCACTATCTAATTATTTTCACACATCTTATTACGTAATGATTTTAATGTTTTGTGATTACTATTCTTAGTCTATTTACCCATGTTTATTTGACCTTCTATTTCCAACGACTAACTATTTATAAGAGTTTTGTTATTGTATTTTATTATTCTCACTATTATCAGTTCACTTGTCTTCCTACTATCAACTTGTACTTTTACCTATTATGTGTAGTGACTTATTCTATTTCATTGTGATTATTGACTCATATTGCCTTGATTGGTTTAAAAACATTTTCGTATAAATATTCATGTATATTAGAGTAAAGCCTGATGACGATCTAATTGAAAACAATTGTTTGCTTATATGTGTTGTTCATACATAATGATCATACTGTTCTTAGTTATTAGTAGAGTTCGTTCGCAGAACATTCGATCTCATTTTAGAAGTATTATTTTGAACATTGGTTATTCACCAGATTGTACTCATTTGGGTGTATTTGGTTGGGTATAAAAATGAAATATTTGCCAGATTAATCCATGCTTACTTCAAAAATAGATACACCGAATTATAAACAATTATCTAAAAAGCTAGTGAAATATATCGATACATTTACTCTTATTTCTTTAGAAACGATATTAAACACCGTAAGCAATGTGTGCTTGGTAGTTGATTTAAATCAGAGAATATTTGCTTTCTCGTTAACACTCATAGATATCTGGGAACTCACCAGCTAGTCAAATATAAGTATAATGCGAAACTAAAGACAATCGTTCAGTGCGATTCCAGGTATTGAAAGTTAAGACAGATGGTAAAGTTGGTTGTGTTAGATAACAATATTTTCATCAAACCTTTATCGGGTTTACACCGATAATTGGTAATTCCATACTCTAGCGCTATGATATGGTCCCTTGAAATTTACTCACCTAACGAAATTGGGCAAATTATCGGTCCATGCAATAATTATTCTCATTAACATGGAGGCGGCATTTGTGTCCACCAACTGAGATAATACCTTGAAACTGTCGTCGATCAGTAGATCGTTTTAGAACCGAAAATTAAGTTTCTGAGTTTATTAGACCAATTATTTGAATTAATCTAAGTTAATGAATCTCAGTTCAACGCTAGCTATAATTGATTCTCGCTTTTAGAACAAATAGCATGCTAGACAATAATAAAACTATTCTGTACCAAGCTCCTAACTCGGGATAAGAATTGATGGTGAGACTCTAATTTATGGACGAGCCTTGAACGAATCTTAAGTGACCTGACAATTACTAGCCAATCAAAAGACAGTATAAAGGAAAAATATATTATAAGAAACTAATGAATAACATGGCGACCCCCTACACCAAACCAACGATGGACTCAAATAGACCACTTTGCCATCAGCCATCGTTGGAGAGGGTCGGTAGAAGGTTGTCGCTCATTCTGGAGTACCTGCTTGGACTCCGACCATGCCCTAATACGGGCACGCACCTGCTTGCGCCTCACTGGACGTAAAAAAAGCCTCAGTAAAAAGACCATTAGAACTGAATTGAGTAGCGAGAAAACCAAAAGTAGGTTACAGGAACAACTGAGGTCACAATTAGGTAGTTCTGAAAACGAGGTTGACCCATATGTTGCTTGGAAAGTTATACAAACAGTTGTGGAAACAGCAGTGAAATCTAACAGTGATTTAAGTCACAGGGTTACAAAGAACCAATGGATTTCCTCTAGGTCTATTGCACTGATGGATTCTCGTAGACTCATCCCATCAGGCTCTGAACACGATGAAGAGCGACGAATCAGATCTAGGTTAACCAAAAGTCTAAGGAACGACCGTGAGCTGTGTTGGGCAACGAAAGCAATAGAGATGGAAAAGGCGGCGGCTATAGGGAACACAAGACAGCTCTACAGACTAATAAAAGAAACTGGAATTAATAAGTCAAGTGTAAGTCAGACTATTTCGGAAAAAGACGACACCCTCATCTGCTCTCAGTCCAGACGTTTAGAACGATGGGCGGAACATTTCAGAGAACAGTTCAGCTGACCTTCAGCTACTCGACAACTACCCTCCATTGCCAGAGAGTATGAATGGAAGATTGAAGTAGGTCCCCCAACTCTAGCAGAAGTTCAAAAGACTATAGTTAATCTGAAACGAGGAAGGGCAGCTGGTCCAGATGGATTGGCTCCAGAGGTCTTTAAGTATGGTGACCCAGTTTTAGAGATTAGGTTGAATAATATTTTAGCTAAGATCTGGGAATTAGACGTTATCCCATCTGACTGGTCGCAATCACTTATCGTCCCAATATATAAGACAGGGTCAAAATCATCCTGTTACAACTATAGAGGGATTAGTTTAACTAATATAGCATCTAAAATACTAGCCTCGATAATTATCAGACGCTTAACTAAGACTCGTGAACTGCAAACACGAGAGAATCAAGCTGGCTTCAGACCTGGTCGTGGCTGCCTCGACCACGTATTCACCATTCGTCAGGTTCTAGAACATAGGCATATTTACCGGCGTCCGACAATGGTGGTCTTTCTTGACTTAAAAGCAGCATTTGACTCTGTAGACCGCGAGATTCTGTAGGAATATTTGTCATTGAAAAGTGTACCTCAGAAGTTCATAAACCTTGTGCAGGCTCTTTACTCGAACACTACTAGTCGAGTCAGAGCTTATGGCGAACTGTCATCTGCTTTCGCAACCTTAAGTGGTGTCCGTCAAGACCGTCCACTTTCTCCATTTTTGTTCAACTTCATCATAGACTTATCGATGGAAATAACATTCTCGTCGACTGAATTCTCAGGTATTGATCTCCTTCCAGAAGGTCCACTTATCGACTTAGAATACGCAATGACATAGTCCTGTTTGGTGAAGACGCTGATAAAATGCAGTCTTTTGGTAGCACTGAGCAACAATGCCAGAATGTTTGGAATGCGCTTCTCTCCCTGTAAATGCAAATTGCTGCTTCAGGACTGGTCTGCGTCAACACCTGAACTAAGGATAGGGAGTGAAGTAGTCGAACGCGTTGACAACTTCACTTATCTTGGAAGTCTGATCAGCCCTAATGGGTTGGTGTCTGACGAAATTTCAGCACGGATTCGAAAAGTTCGTTTGGCTTTCGCCAACTTACGTCACCTATGGCGAAATCGAGATATCCGTCTATCAATTAAAGGACGAGTATACTGCGCGGCAGTCCGTTCTGTTTTAATTTACGGCAGCGAAACATGGCCATTAAGAGTAGAAGACACTCGTAAGCTCCTAGTATTTGACCACAGATGCCTTAGAAATATTGCTGGCGTCTGCTGTGATCACCGGGTAAGTAGTAGTGAAGTTAGACGCAGGGTATTAGGGAATGATGGTAAATCAGTTGATGAGGTTGTGAATCTTCATCGACTGAGATGGTTGGGCCACGTGTTACGTATGCCCGAACACCGATTACCACGACGTGCAATGCTAACCGGTGTTCGGGATGGTTGGAAAATAGTTAGGGCGGTCAAACCAAAACGTGGCATCAGTGCTTGAAGTCACTAGCTTCTAGTCTGAGCCATACTGGTAGGTGCAGACTACTTGGTTGGGGTCCGCGTGACTATCGTAACCAATGGTTGGAGACTCTTGGTGACATGGCTCAGAATCGATCACAATGGCGTCGGTGTATACACTCTCTATCTTCCCTTAAACTAAGAGATTAAAATCACTTCATATCTTTCTTTCTACGAACTAATTATTTCTCCCTGTACTATATCCTTATTGCAATCTTTCTTTTATGTATTACCACCTCTGAATTAACTACTTCTATGAATCCGGTGTCCATCTTGTTGTGTTAATGAGGTATGGCAACTTGGACCGATGCATATATGTGCCTGACCCTACGTTGTAGCTGACTGACTGAATTACAGTGGATATTCTTCTTTTACGTGATTTAAAAACGTTTTAAGGTTGATAAAGGTTCAGATGTTCTGAAATAATAATGCATACGATATAGGAACTCGTCAATATGGCTCCATAATAGTCGTCCTCTGAAGCCGTGGCACGGTCTTAAAAATTCCTTCAATCTCGACCACATGGCTTCAATGTTAGTATGAACGCCGGTAGTAGGGTCGACAAAATGGCGTTTATGCACTACATGATGGACATACCCAAGTCCATGAAGGCATCTATACGCTGTCCAATCATCTGTATATACCGTAGTGCCCGGCTGCACGTATTACTTTACAATTGGTATTATTGTGCTTGCTTGACGGTTTCTCGCCCTCTGGAAATGCCTCTTTTGCGTTGAACGATCATAAATTCCAAGTATATGTTAAGAACATTTACGGAAGTGCTACTTACCCAATCTTCCTTGATACTACGTCCCCTGTCGTATTTTCGCTTTCACACTACTGTTCCATCTATTTCCATAATACTCCCGACTCCGAATGATTCGTGTAGACGTGTCATTTTAAGTGCACATATACCACGACAATACTCATACCACTGGATGGCTGAAGTTTCAGTACCATCTGCAACCGCCGCAGCTAGTGTTACTGGTGCCTTTATAATCAAATGTGAAACTATTATCATGATTTGCCTCAGACGCGATCGAGAGAAGAAAGTCCCCGTTCGAGCAGACTTTTTTCTCTAACATAAAGAACAACGAAATACAATCTTATCACGATAGTCTGCATACTGTACTGCAGTCATTTGATAACCGCAGTCACAGGTACAGGAACTTCTTAGTATTTTCATCTCTTGTAGCTTCTGATTGGCTCGTCCATAAATTAGTCTCGTCATATGGACGAGTTCCTATATCGTATGCATTATTATTTCAGAACATCTGAACATTTATCAACCTTAACACGTTTTCAAATCACGTAAAAGAAGAATATCCACTGTAATTCATTAGATCCTTATAATATATTTTCACTTAATACTGTCTTTTGATTGGCTAGTAATTGTCAGGATCACTTAAAATTCGTCCAAGGTTCGTCCATAAATTAGTCTCACTATAAAGTCAGTAAAGATAATTTTCAAGAATTATGGACCTCGAGGATTTTTGGGCAAGTTCTGGAAGAAAACCCAAAACCAGTAAAAACTATGGGATTTTCAGTTAGCATTTCATAGAATTTTCCTAATGTGCACGAAAAGTTCGGGTGAATCGAGTGGTTGTTTCGGGGAAGATCTCAGCTTTGAAAAATTTTGGTGTTTTGGTTTTGTTTTCCCAAAACTTTTGATGAACTGTCCTATAGTTTACCTTCAACTGATCCTAAGGTGAGAGCCTAGTAGCAACTAAGAATCAGATTTATTACCTCGGACGTCACCAAAAGTGTGAATGTGGACGGATATGAGTAAGGAAAACAATTAAGTTTTCAAGGCATTGAAGAAATAACAACTCATCACACAACTTACTGCATAGAAAGTTTCGAGGGTTTAGGTAACCACAGAATTTACATGGTGTCAAATCGTCTCTAGGTTTGTAATCTCCCGATCTTACTACAAATTTCATGTAAGAGGAAAAAGGAAACCTACAGGAGAGAAATTTTCGTATTCGCCGTAGTTCTGCAGTCCTACGTTTCTTAGGCACAGCGAAGTAAATTGAGTCTTCCCATAATTTAAGTGATCCAAAAAAAGGTGAGCGGTATAACGTTGCCGTATCTGCAGCTAATGCAAAAGGCTTGGCTAAATGTGTTATACAATGACGAATAGACTTACCTCGACCAAAGAAATCTAAAATAATCGACTTCAAAGCATGGTAAATTGGACCCATGACCTTGAACGTCAATTATGCGCCTTTGATCCGTACTTTGGAATGCATATGATTCAGATTTCAGCTTGAGTTATATAGGTTAAGTCTTCACTAAAAAAGGTAGCGAGTCTATCACCCATATAACGTCTTAACACTATGGTGGTTTAATCTTGTTTTGACTATCTCAACACTGACGAGCGCTATTCAAAAAAGTAAGTTGTGACGGGATTAAAATCATCATGTATGATGTTGTTAATATAATTTATTTTCTTTCTATTGTAGGGCGATCAAGAATAAATGCTTTAGAAGAAGAAGAGCAAGTACTGCATGCACTCAATTTACAGGATGACTCATAAGACCGTTTTGTATACTAGCTCTCTTTTTTGTACATAACTCGCGAGTTTTAACTTTCAAAATAAACGACTGGGGGTCTCCATTCCTTGTTCTCTCTGTGGTATGAAGTGCTCAGTTAACATTATGTGTGTTGTGGCTTTAGGTCTTCTGCTCTTCCAGTGACTGCTGATTACACATGTAACAAATCCCCAAAATAAACTGCTCTGTAAGTTTTCGACATTGGATGTACACCATATTGGTTTCAATGGACTCACCTAGCTGATGGCGCTCGATCATGCATCCTCACAATATCGCAGGGGAAAACGCCGTGCTCAACAACCCCTGCAGTCGCTAGTCAGATTAGATCAGACGATCCTCGATATATTGATAGCCTATCAAAGAAATCTTCGAAACTCCGCTTCTGTCTTTCGATTTCACTTGGTGGCTACGCTTCATATTAAATGTTCATGGGTAAAGCGTTGCCAAACTCCGAATACCTGTGGCTTGTTCAACATAGTTGTGGTAGACCAGCATGCTTTCTCCGGGCAAATGAGGGGATTCAATGTCATAGCTGCAATAATTGGTACCACAATGTGTGCAATGGACTCACACCGACTGCATATAAATGATCCTGCAAGCCTATATCGCGTTGGTTGTGCAAACAATGTTGTCTACTAAGTCTCTGCTGATGCTAGAGGCGATCGAGTGCTCAACATAGCTAGGAAATTGCCATCTGATAAACAAGCAGCAGCAGCAGATGATCAGGATTCCGCTTTCGATGAAATTTAGAGCGTTATTGTGAGCCCAGCTCTAAGCTTAAATGAGACCATAAAGGTGGATGTCGTCAGGAAAACGGATAAACACATGGATCTGGGCGTTGATACAAGGAGAAAGAAGTGCGCTGAGAAAAAACTACCTTTAGACAGCACTAAGACATGTGAGTATACGAGCTCACTTCCGAATTTACATATCAAGGTAATACAAACTATGGGGGAGCCAAGTCTTAACAATGTAGACGAAGTGGCGTCGTACGCCAAAGTACAACCTGCTATTTCTCTACAAATCGATATACGGACCCTCATTTCTAACTTCCTGCCCGACTATGACACATAAGGCAGCCAACAGACTAAGAAACAACGCCTACTGAAGACCATATAAAATCTATTAAAAAAGCTATGATAAAAAACTGGCTGCAATAGCTTCGAAAAATGGGGGGGGGAAGCCAAATGTGTATCACAATACTGAATATAGCACTATCCCTTTATTGTGCGAACTGCGAAAAACATCACATCGGACAAAGCGGATGCTCCGTTCGCCTTCGACTACATGAACATCAATTAGCAGTCAAACGCCATGATACTTTCTCACTTATTTCAATACACGTGGACAACTGCGGACACTGATTCTATTGAAAAAATGTGGAAATATTGGACAGAGGGAATTCCAAAAAACTAGAGAATTTTTAGAAGCCTGGCACTCAGGTCAATCAGCAATCAACAAGCACATTGAAACCGATCCAATTTATCAACCAATCAGGAAAGTTATGCACAAATATAGGAACAAAAATCAAACCAATGAGAGATACAACCAAAACAAGGAGTACACAATGACAAATTTAAGGTTAATAGGAACCAATGAACATCAAGGTGTACAAAACAAGCTGTGGAACGAATATGGGGAAATTCGAACACTTCACTTCTATCTGAAGTTTGTGCTGATGGTCTCGTTCAGAAGAACGATGAAAGTTCCACGACCCAACCATCCATCTCAGAGAACAAAACTCCATCAAAATCATCCACCTGAGCTACAAATCCTCTCCACCATCTCAAACATAGCCGAGAAAGTTAGTGGAGATGCGAAGATAAACAATTTACACGAAATCTCGAGGAAAAGCATCCACCACAGTCTAAGTTAGCTACTTCTACGAGTGCGTGTAACCAAATTCGATTACATAAACTCTTGCCTATTTTCATACATTCGCTCAAGTTAATCATACATTAATAACTTGGAACATAATTTATGTGCTCTACTAATATATACCTGATATCTAAACTCCAATTGGTTATCTGATGTTCGTAAATTACTGACCTGAACGAGACCATCAGCACAAACTTCAGATAGAAGTGAAGTGTTCGAATTTCCCCATATTCGTTCCACAGCTTGTTTTGTACACCTTGATGTTCATTGGTTCCTATTAACCTTAAATTTGTCATTGTGTACTCCTTGTTTTGGTTGTATCTCTCATTGGTTTGATTTTTGTTCCTATATTTGTGCATAACTTTCCTGATTGGTTGATAAATTGGATCGGTTTCAATGTGCTTGTTGATTGCTGATTGACCTGAGTGCCAGGCTTCTAAAAATTCTCTAGTTTTTTGGAATTCCCTCTGTCCAATATTTCCACATTTTTTCAATAGAATCAGTGTCCGCAGTTGTCCACGTGTATTGAAATAAGTGAGAAAGTATCATGGCGTTTGACTGCTAATTGATGTTCATGTAGTCGAAGGCGAACGGAGCATCCGCTTTGTCCGATGTGATGTTTTTCGCATTTGGCACAACAAGGGGATCGTTTTACCATACATATAAGGCATGTCAGAAACCGCACCGAGACTGCTGAAAACTTTCGGTATAGGTTTGGCACACAAACGGACGAAATTTTACAATCAATCCTATGCAAATGAAAGGTTGAAATAACGAAGGAATTCAAATCAGACATCATCTACAAAATAAATTGTGCCGACTTCGAATAACACCACATCGGACAAAGCTCTACGACCAAGCCATCCAACTCAGAGAACGAAACTCCATCAAAATCACCCATTTGAGCTACAAATCTTCCCCACCGTTTCAATTTTCTTATGTCTAAATCTTCAATAAACCTCAGTATACACCCTTTTATACTTCTATACAACACCACAAAAGCGGAGTTTAGATCAATTTCATGACATGCTTTAATTATATGTTTAGCAATAGAGGATGATGGATGTTTATCCTCTGGTCTTATTGGGTCACTTGATTGTATTTGTTTCTGCAGCCATTCTCATACATGTTCCCACACCCTAATGTTGAGATCACGATTGCTCATCCCTATGTATGTGTGGCCACACATACATTTAAATTGGTAAACACAGTGGGATGTGACACAGTCGTTTTTATGTCTTTTAGATTTTGGATGAAGCATACACCTGGTTCTTTCTTTGATAATGACTTTCGCTGCGCAATACGTTTTATTGATGACTGATTGAAGTCTTTGTTTCAACAAAAGGCTATTTGAATCATCTCTGAATGATAAGGTGATGTAGACAGCCTATTTAACTACCAAGGCTACAGTAGGTCTCACTGTACCATGGACTTCCCATCTATTTATGAATTTCAAAGGATAGTCATTTTCTATTAACGTTTTATTTAACAACTTAACATCATCATCAATGGCGCCATTTGTACAAATACGATCAAGCCTGTTGAAAAAGCACCACGTTCGTATTGCACAGGGCAATAACTATAATAACTAAGGTATTGACCTGTCCACGTTGGTTTTCTAAAAATGGATCGTTTGATTGAGTCACCTTCTCGTCTACTCCCAAGTATATCTAGGAAGGGAGGCTGGTCGCTTTCATCCTCTTCACATGAGAGACTGATATGGTTTTGGAGAGTGTTAAATTTATTCAAAACACAGTACATATCCTCTTTTCCTTCACAAACAACTAAGATATGGTCTTCATATCTCTTATAAAGTGACATGTTTTCGATTAGGTCATCAGCCAGATTTTCAACATGTGCCATGAACACGTCTTCTAATAATGGTCCTAGCGGACTAGCCATAGCAACTACATCAATCTGACGAAGGTATTTACCTTCAAAAATGAATTGAAATTTATCAGTACATAGTAATAGTAAATCTTTAAGAAGTTTTACAGGTATACGTGAATGAAGGTTGTTTAAAGATACGTAATCACATAATATATCAATAGTTTTTTCAAAGGCACATTTGTAAACAAGGAATTCACATCAAATGAACACATTGTCTTTTCCTTGATATTAATATCATCTAAATGATCGACCAGTTCAAAAGAATCCTTTAGACAATACTTGAATAGATTTCTTCTGATAGGGTCCAACAATTTCGCTAACCGTTTAGCCAGGTTATGTGTAGGTGATATGCACATTGATAAAGCTGGACGTAAAGGAATGTTTGGTTTGTCAAATTTAGGTAGTTCATATGAACGAGGGTACTCGGAACCCATAGGTTTTAGAAAATCAAATTCCTCTTTATTAATAATATTCATGAGTAGCAATTTTTCTAGATTTGAATTTACTCATCATTCTAGTTTGCTAATACCTCCAAATTCAACATCAGGCATAAATTTACTTTCATCACTGAGGATGGATAACATCTTACTTTTATATTCACATTCATTCATGATAACTACGCCTGATCATTTATCAGGTTTTAACAAGACAATATCAGGGTTTATTCGTAGTTCTTTTAATGATTTAAAATTCTGAGAAGTTAATATGTTTCTCTGTTTTGGTCCAATATTATGAAATTGGTGTGCTATATCCACCAGTTTAGGTTTACACCAGCTTTGATTATTTAAAGACGTAGGGGTGAGAGTACTTAGTTGATCGTGTAGCGTAAAGTCGAGTCGGGGTTGACTATGAACACCACTACAAGGAAACACGTGCCAAACAAATCAGAAGTCGAAGATTGAACGTAACCAGATTTATTCGTTGGCGATCTCGTGGTATCGAATGAATACCGAGATCGTGCCAAAAGAAATACAAGTGGAATGAGCAGGCAGTAGTACGAACGTA